GTGCACCACAATGTACTTAACATTTCCTCCGGGCTGCATACTTAACCTGAAATCTTACCCAACCTTAATACCCTGCAGGTGCAATTTACTGCAATTATATGTAATTTGGTGATAAAGCTAGACATTGTGTACTTGCACTGTTCTATCCGGAGAGTAATAGCAGTAAATAATGCCTTTCTAGAGATTATTGCTGCATTAATGACTGATGTGAGTTCTTGTTGCTGCCAAAAATAAGGTTAAAAAAAAAAACATACTTGCTGTTTGAAAAGCAATGATTCACATCGTTCACCACATCATGCTCAAGCACCAACTGAGAAGATACACTGGCATGCTTTAAACAAGCATCAAGCCACCTTGTTTCAAAATAGCTCCAACCTTTGATACGCTTGTCTGTTACTAATTTCACCTCAAAATGAAATGATGGAGGGTCAGGTTCTTCATTTGATGACATGTTCTACTGGGTAACTCTGAAGCTGTTGTTTTCAGGCACTGTCATGTCAGCAGTAGTGTCTGTACTTTTAGCAGTAGGATGAGTTGTAATAGTAGCTGGTTCAGTAATTATTTCAATAACAACAGCAGTGTTACTAAGAGGAGGGGAAACAGTAGCAGAATACACTGTGTTAATGTTGAGCTACTACAGTATATACATGTAGTATTACAACACATTCTCATTCCCACGGTGTCAAATACTGTCAATTTGTCAAGTACCTTTTGTACTGCACACCTACGCTAAAGGGAGCATTTGGCACCTATATAAGATGCTCGGGGATATGACTGCATCAAGAACGATGTGTTTACATTTAGGCACAAAAATAACGTGGTTAGGTTTTAGGAAAATATTGTTGGCCTAGGTTGCTGATTAAAATCCACGTCATTATACACCAGAGATGAACTCCAGTCTCCCGTGGAAAGTTTGATATTTTGACTGACATCCACCCCAGCGACCTCGTAGCGTTGACTTTCTGCCTTCATATACCACAACCTCTTGCTCTGGGCATCAAACACTGATGTGAGTGGATACTTTACTGAAAACCCTAAAGGTATTTGACATGTTGTCAGTATCTGACATCCCAAGAATGAGGACAGGCTGAGTATTAATGTTGGTCCTGGATAAAATAACAATTCAATTATCATCAGAACTAGCAAAGTCTTACTGTGCGATTTTGGAGTGGAGGTTTCAGGCTTTGGGGTGATGGGGAAATAATAGTCTGGATCTCTTTCCTCTGGCAGGAAAGCCTCTGCAGGGTCAGGGGTGGTGTAGACTGTAGTACAAACACATGCACATTTAGCCATTTATTCAAGTGAATAATAAAGTTAAAGGTTTGTTGTTAAAGGCTAAAAAACTACTGTTACTCTGAGGTGAAAGTAAAAAAATATACTTTGTTGACAGCTTGTTTCACCTTAATTTTATTACAAAATTGAAGCTATTCCTGTTGTTTAAAGAACCAGAATTTGTATAAATGTTGTGTATTTTAAACTTTATTTACTATTTTCATTATACAGTAGCTCTCTTAGCAATAGCCCTAGTGTGTATTTAATTTAAAACATAATAGTTATGCCCCTTTAAAGTATTGACGTTCATATGTTTATACTTAGAAGCACTTATATTGTGCTTATTTACTTGACTACACTAATAATTTTCAAAAGTGCATTTTGCCAACTTTCTCCTGACCTTGCCAGGGCCGGACTAAAAGCAGGGGAGTCCATTCACTCCACTGGCTCTCTGAGTTCACCTCGTCCCGGGCTCGAACCTGGACCTGGTGAACGTGGCCAGCCAGGGCATCAAATATAATGGCTGGACTCTCTTCAGAGTAAATCTGATTGAAGGAGAAACAGACAGGTTAGTGAATAAGTAGCAGTGAACAGGAAGAAAAGCTGATGTTGTGATGGTGGCATCACATTAGCGAGTAAAGAGAAGCAGGTCTGTGGAACCACACTGTCACCGTATTTCTTAATGCTTCTAGCCTTAGCAGTGGGTGCTCTGAAGGATCCTTGGTTTCAGTTTCTAGTAAAATGCAATAAACCTTTTTATTTTATTTACTTCAACCCATGCACAGTGGGTCATTTTAACATGTTGCTCCTGTCTGACCCAGACTGTGCCCCTTCCACACTGAAGTGAAACCTTTAGCCTTGCTTACCTCTGACCAGTATATGGAGCCCTGTGGCCTGTATCTGATCTGAAACAGTAGGGGGAAGGCATCATGCTGAGGCCAGGAGGAGGGAATGTTCCAGAACACATTCAGTCTCTTAGGATAGCCTTCTATCTCCTTCACCAAGACTGACTCTGGAGGGTTTGGTTTCACTGCAAAGAAAGAAAACCTGACTTAACCACGTTTAATTCCGCCGTGGCTGGTATACTATATCAACTCTGCCAATATAAACATGATATTAAGAGACAAATCCCTTCTTTTTGATTTATGTTTAAGCATATTTACATCACTGTGTCAAAAAGAGACTGAGAAAAACAGTGAGGAACATTAAATAGATCCACTGTCTCAAGGACGTTGTGAACAGCTCTGTTCCACAGCAACAAAAATGTCATGCAGACAGAGGAGCAGCAAAACATGGTAAATGAGGCCATGAGATGAGAACTAAAAGGGAACACTCAGGAAAAATTATCTGCAACAACATGATATTTTTAGTACATGCCTGTGAGTGTAGGAGTTGCATTCAGTGGTGGAACACAAATAAGAACATTATTCGAGTACAAGTCTGAGGTACTTGTACTTTACTGGAGTACTTCCATTTTATGCACTATGTCTTGGAAGCAAATATTGCACTTTTTACTCACTCAGTGAGTTATAGATTAAGCTATGCAGCAGTAAATTATTGCTTTTACTTAAGTAAAATATGAGTACATCTCTACTGGATTCTTTCTTACAAAACATGGGTTGGATTATTTTTACATCTGCAGGTATGAGTTTCCATGTTCCTCTGCATCTGTGGATGTGTCTTGCGATGCTTGCGTCGTTTAACTTGTCTAATAAATGTATGTGCATATAGTATAAAAATGCGTGCACATATGGGGAAAAAATGGAAAATAGGGCATGTACAGGTCCCTTTTAAAAGAAATGATAAGAATGTGAATGTCTCTGCTTGTCTATTGACTTTAGAAGCACAGCAGAGATTTCTGGCACAACTTCACCTACTGTACTTCCAAGATACATGGACAAGGCCAGAAATATTGCCAGCCAATCCCAATAATAGATTTTGAATAAATCAACATCCATATTCAGTAGATCTGGGTGTGGAGCACTGGAAACAAAAACTTTTTCAAGAAAACCATTAGTGTACTTTATAAATTTGTGTGTGTGTGTGTTTCATGTGACCGTACACAGCTCATGGAGCCTAAACTGGCCATATGTTGTTTCAGACCCAAGGGCATTAGTCTCAGTGATTCGAAGGGTGTGCATGGCCTGCCAGAATGCAGGGTGATCTATGTCACAGCGCTTGCGGACGATGTCCAAGACACATGGCGCCCACATCTGACCATTCCCCCTTGAAAACAAGAGAAAATATGTTCAAGCTTTGCACTTATGCAGTTGGGTAACAGACAACTGAATGGTGTGTTGTAAACTCCAAAAATAGTAAAACCAGGTATAACACAGAGAGCACTACTTTAATGTTTTATGGTTAAAAGTTTCCACCAAGTGCCATATTTCATGTTAGAGAAGGGAAGACGGAGTGAAGAGAGGAAGCAGAGAAGGAAAGTCTCACACTATACTTACTGCATTCAAAATGCAACTCTGTGGTACATGTGCTATTTTTAGAGTCTTCATATCCCATTCTGAATGTGACCTTGGGTGTTGCCGTTTCAGCTGCAGTAACTGGCTCTTACCTGAAGGAGGCATTGTACTTTGCTGGCAGGAAGGTCTTTACAGATTCCACCCAGGAGCAGCGAACATGTGTGTAATTGGGCACTTGACAGGAAATGCTCAGCAGCCCAGGGGGACCTGAAATGAGAGATCGACGGTGCTCATTGTCAAGGTAGAAAGGGAGTTTGTTTTTTTGTTGTTGTTGTTGTTGTTTTTTTAAGATGCAACATTTTCAAAGTCTTATCCTGGAGTCTAAAACAGCTCTTTGCCCTGGTGTCCCTATCATGAACCAAATTATTTCAGGAGAGGCTTGGGCAGTACCATGAAAAACTCCCTGTCCCTCAGAAGGAAGCTCACTTTGTGAGCCGCTTCCTATTTGAGACGGTAACAGGAAGCGAGGGACTTTGTCTATGTGATGGCCGATAAGAACCGTTTCCTCTGAAGACCAGTAGTGCTGTTCTGATCATTATTACTGTTGTAGTGAGATGTTTTCCTATAAACAGAGAGTCACTATAAATTAAATGCTTTGAGCAGAAACCCATCCATAAAAAGCTGGAGAGAAAGAAACAGCACAAGGGAAATACGTTGACATGAAGTCAAGAGGGAGATGAGAATGTCAGAGTGAAAAACAGAACCTTCGTTTATGTTTTAATACTGAATTAGCTAAGGAACAAACTCAACTGTATGGGACTGGGATGCCGTCTCTTAATACAGGAGCTAAAGCACTGGGGACACAGGACTGTATTTGCTGGAAAGAGTTTTTAAGCTGCAGTAGAACAGTGAAATACTACATGTACGGCAAAGCTGTTAAAGTGAAATAACTTGTAATGTAGGCACTGTGAGCCAAAACGACACTTACGACCCAGCCTGAGTTTGACAGAGTGCAGGAGGAGGCCATCATTGTCATAGCAGCTGTAGTTGCCCTGTGCTGAGTGGTCGACATGCAGCAGGACTAAGGCTCCATCTGATGTCACTTTGTGCCATGGTAACGCTGAGCTGTGGTTGAGATGCCACACTACAGGTGTCCTGGTTGGAAACACGTCAGACTTTGGTTACCATACTTATGAGGACGTCGCTCCCTGACCACCAACTACATCTGAAGCTCAATTCAACACCCGAACTGGAACTTAACCTTTTAAGGACACTATCATGGGTATCAAATACTGAAACATTACATGTCATGTCACACACTGTCAGTAGATGTTTCTCTTCCAGGTTTCCCTTATCAGATATAACTATTTTGCACTGGGACAGGCAAAACAGACATAGTTTGAACAACATTATAATTTACTTTGAAAACACAGAAGTATTTGTTGTCCTCCATTACTATAAAGCAGATTCTGATTCCTCTCTTTATCATTGGGATATAAAAACAGCTTCCACATACACAGGCGACAGTTTTCTGTCCTTACCTGATTTGTGACTTCCCACATGCCAGTGTCACATTTGACTCCAAACGCCCATACTGCACATCTGACACTGCAAACACAGAGACAACATAAAATCTTAAAAGCACCCAGCTGTCTGGCTGATGGTGTCTGCACAATGAACAATTTGACAGGCCATGTGTGTCCACATCATCTGTAATATTGTGATTTAAGTGCCACCATTTAGAGGAGAGCCAAAAGTATTACAATAACATGACCATACAAGGTTAGGGATCCACCAGACACTAGGCTGAGGAGACTTTGGTAAACAGCATATAACTTTTCTAATGTCACCACCATTAGAATAAAATGATTTTGTATCAGCACATCCTCTTTGAGACCTTTAATAATAAACTTGAAAGCAGTTAAGAATTTTAAAATGATAAGACGGACACATACTACACTATTACACTCAATTTAAAGACTTTTTTTTATATGAACAGGCCAGTTAGTCAACTCTCAAATCTCCTCGTGTGCAAACTTGAGATGCTTTCTGATCATTGTCTTAGTTGTTCACTGACTGCAGAACACTCAACATTATGTCGTGCTCCTTAACATAACCAAACTAAAGAAGTGACTTGCTATGGACTTTGTAACAGAGGACTGAACAGGATGCACCAAGACAAACTGTGAACCTTGCTCTGCACAAAACATCCATAATATCCATATTCCAGGAGAAGTGGGACACATTTCTTAGCCACATATGGAGAAACCTTTGAAATGTGACAGCTTTGCAGTGTCGATTTGAAAGGAATTAGCATTTAAAATTGGACGCCGCATGAGGTTATTTATTTATTTTTATCTGTTATTTTGCCTGTATTTGCCCCAGATCACATCAAATGGTATCTAGCCATGTAAACAGCTATAGTTTTATCTGCTGAGGTTTTGAGATATCCTCTGAGATTTCTGTCTCCACCCCTATACCATAAAGATGAATGGGATTTTGTTTGTGCTCTTATCATTCCCTAATAAAATCTGAAAAACTCAGCATGAACAACGCCATGATTTCTCATGATACTTTCTCATGATACCTGCTGTTTGCAGCTTTAATTGGAATGTTTGTTTTAACCCAAGAAACAGCTATAAGCAGCATATGTATCCATTAATGACAACATGGCTAAAAGACAGAACATGTGGACTGGCTTTTAGTCAGTAAGAAAAACCTTTTTTTAAATCAAGAACTTAGAGATAGAAGCTGCAAAATACTACCACACAAAACTGGAAGCTAGATGAGATTTGAAGGAATGCAGCGTGTACGTGAGCAAATATTTGTGGTGGCTGTAGTAATTTGCAAAGCTGATATTCTATCTGCAGTAAGTGAGTCTATGTACATGCATGTTTAGCCTGGCTCCGTAATATGCAGTCTGGCATTTACATCAGACCTTGAGTGGAAAAACATCACTTGCCAATGTGCATGCACACACCTTGATTCATTTGAAACTTCATTCACTCCAGCATGCACACTCCTTGGATTGTGTTACAGTAAATTCTTCTTATTACCCCGACTCTTTTTATCCTCTCTCTCTCTCTTTCTTTATCTAACGTTTGTATTAAAGTTGCATTACAAAGGATAGCTCTAACATTGTCAAAAAAACAATGCTGCTGCCTACAGTAGGGCTCACAGGGCATTTAAAAGTGCTACTATTTATTTGACTGTATTGTATATTTATAATCAGTATTTTTTCTGCAGTAGTCTTGTATGTGCTTCTGGGAAAGTTCTTCCTAAATTAAACTGTATACACACTCAATTTGAAGGCTTTGCTGAAGGCCTTTTCAACACTTAGTTTTCACTGACACCTAAAGGCTGTTTTTCTGGCCTTGCTGCTGCTGTTTTAGAGGCTATACAAAATGATACTGCTGAGGAAAAAAGCAGTAAAGTGCTCCACTGTGATCATGCGATTGTATATTATTTTGAATGCAGGAGACACATACACAGCAAGAAGAGGAGAAGGAAGCTATTTTAAAAAGAAATAAGCCAATGGAAGTGTGTTCATTCTACTGGAAACAATCTGTCAGCTACAGAGACAGCTGCTATGCATGTGACATTAGAAAGACAAACCTATTTTTAGTTTGTCCAGCACTGCAATCAAGTATATATTTTTAATTTTCTTTTTTATAAACATCATAATGATGAACAGGTGAACCCAAAACAGAACATACCACAAATTCCAGTTCATTCCTTTATTGTAGGGCTGAACAATTTGAGGGACAAATCTAACATTTCTCTTACAAACAGTGCACTTGTGATTAAATCTAACTTCAGCATATAAAAGAAATCACTTGATTTTTGTATTGATCGGCGACTCTGCACTGCAGCTGCCTTAGTTAATGTTAGCGACACAAAGTGAAAGAATAAGCTAGTTCACAGCTAAAATTCTAAGAAACTCAGGTTAGAAGTGTTCAGATGGCAGGCTGAAAATGTGTTTACCTGGGAGCCAGGGTTAACTGTCTGAAACTGGCATGAGCCGGTCGCCTAGATATACAGAGCTGACAGTGTGCTGGATTTTTATGACCAGCAAAAAGACAAAGCCACCAGCTACTAGGCCAATGTCCTAAGATGAACTAATTTATTTCATTAAATGAATTAATAAATTCATTCATTCCTATTATTTAAATCATCCTCTTTTCTCATCATTTCTCCCCATCTT